ATGCTAAAATTAGACTCATTGCAAACCTGAAGTTTTGACATTAGAATCATTATACATATTTCTAACCTCATTTTAAAAATTTTAAATTACAGTACATCTTTTTTGTTGTCTATAATATGAAAGATACATTAAAAATTACCATTTTAGAAAGTTTAAATGACGATCATATTAAATATTTCATTATAAAAACTTCGAACTGATACGAATGTCGGCGTGCTCACCCGAAAGCTATAAAGTCGCCACTATCTGCTGCCCCTAAACATTTAACAGGCCAAAGAAGTAGAGAGGGTAGAAGCAGGATAAGGTACCGTCTGTGCATCCATCACGAGTGTAGAAATTATGCATGATCCAACCTTCCACTCTTACACACGTAAATGAAAAGGAGAGGTTGCCCTAAAGCACTGTAAACAAATTCCAGGATTGGCTTTATTCAGCGATTATGTTCATGTTCAGCTCTGTTTTTTGTTTGTGTTGTGGCTGCTGTAACCTTTTTGGCGTCAATTCTTTATTATCTTGCTTATATTTGTGCTTTGATTTCGATTTGGTTATAAAGTATACTTGTTAATTATTTTCTGATATACTATTTTATAATTGTTACAAAAAACCGTGCCTAAATCTTGTTTACAAAATGTACAAAACGAAATTGTGCATAGTGTCTATACTTTATCATTCTACCCGTCTCCACTTCATTGGAACAAGCACAATCTTTAATAAAGACAATTCTAGAACGTAAACGATTTGCGCATGCTCAGATGTCAAAATAAGAGCGGCGCTAATAGTGACTGACCGTAAGTGAACTTGCAATAACTCATGGTGGAAGAATACAGGTGAAGCGGTAAGCGGTACGAAATTTGGTCATTCTTGCGCATGACGTCACCTGCGGAGCATATTTTTGTTTTGCCTATGTCTCCAATGTTAAAAAGCGACTTTTAAAGTTATTCTAATATTTTCCTGGTAGTGTTTAGAAGTTTATAGATATATTTATCTTAATATTTAATATCATTTCTATATATCAATAGGCCTGTTTAGAAATTATTGGTACGTATTATTAAATTAATTTCTAATTAAGTTGGTAGTGTAATTGATATAAAGTTAGGTTATGTAACATTTTTGTTGTATTTTAAAGATAAAAGAAATAGTTTATATTCATTATTGTTATTTTAATATATCATTATTATTATTATTATTATTATATTATTGATACATTAAAATCTACTATATTTTAGGGTGTGTAGTTACTAACAAAATGCCAGGTTGTGCAGTGTTTGGCAGCAAGAACTATTTAAGAAAAACAAAGAGAACAAATATTAAGTATTTTGGATTTCCGAAAACAGATATAGCCAAAGCCTGGGTCAACGGTTGAGGGTGAAAAGATACAATTAATTTGAAAAATGGTATGATTTTTGCAAACCTAACTTGAATATGATTAATTTTATGTCTTGTTTCTTTTTTAAGCTTGTATTTGTTCCATACATTTTTCGAAGGATAGTTTTGAAATACCCTTACAACAGAGGCTATTAAACTACTCCACTAAGACTGGTAGAAACTTAAAACAAACAGCAGTTCCTACTGAAAATCTCCCATTGAAAAAAAGACAATTGTCTGCAGAAACTGAAGATAGATTAAGAAGGCAGGCAAAAAGATATCGACAAACATTTATTGAGAGCTTTGTTAATATTTCGGGGCATTCCAGACAATTGTCAACTGCAGACCAGGACAAGAAGAATCAAAGTTTGGAAACAGACACTCAAAATATATTGGTATCATCAGAACTAGAAACGTATGTACAAATTTACCTTATTAACAAAAAATGTGGCTTTGAAAAGAAAATTACACAACTTAGCATATACTAATTAACATTACAATCATTTTAAAACAATTTTTTTATTAAATATTAAACTTTGAAGTGATAATTGCTTTTATTTCAATATTAAAAATTAAATTATTATTTTAGAGAAAACTATTAAGAGTCTTCGTGAAGAACTAAACAAAATTACTGAAAAATGCAACAAATCAAATATAGAAATACTTTCATTGAAAGAAGAAATTAGCCAGTTGAAAAATAATTCTCAAGTGGAAATTCAGGAAAGTAAAGTAAATGTTTCACTCCGGGTCAAATAAATGTTTTATACAATGAAAATAAAAAAAGAATTCGTTGAAGTTCGGATGACATAGCATCCACAATCTCCCTAAGAGGCATTCGTCCTAAGGCTTATAGATTTTAAGAACTGTTCATTATCCTTTACCTGGGTTTACTACCTTAAGAGACTGGCCTAAATGTTTAAATTTAGAACAATAAATATACATTATAAAGTGTTAAGCAAGATAAAGAAGTAAACATTATGTATAAACCATTTTTAAACATAAATAAATCAATTTAAAATAACACCTGTGCTTTTTATTAAAATAAAGTATGTTTTGCCAAGTGTTTCTATTTATTAAATACATAAAGGGGTTTACCAGCACCCAACCATACAAGAAAGTAATTGGTCTGTGCATACAAGTTATTGATATCCATGTTTGATGACTAATTTAAAATTAAATTATTACATTTATAATCTATAAAAGTGACCACATACTTCCAAACTGATTATTTAAGAAAATTGGCTACTAAAAAAATATACTGATCATAATAAAATTCATTTCACCTTAATTTTATTGTTCAGCATTCGTTAACATTATACACAAGTTTACTTGAATCGATTCAAAATTATTTATTGTTGAAGAATTAATTACATTCTTATTAACAAAGATAGATAACATAAGTTAAAATTCAAAGGAAAAGAAACAAAATACTTATTCATAAATGAAATTTTTTATTTTAAAATTTTTTAAATTCTAATATCAAGACAAAATATAATATAAAAACAAAAATGCACAACCTAAGTACAAATATGACAATCGAGAAATATATATACAGGAGTATACACATAAATTAAAATGAACTACTTAATTCAAGGAATCAGAAAAATTTATCCACTTTGTAGTATACCTTTTTGAGCAAGAGTTTCTTGCTTTTTAAACATATTTAATGAGTCAGCACTTCCTATTATTAATTAATTGGCAAGAGGTTAAACATTTTTCCACTATACAGGGGACACTACATATTTCAGTTTCACATTTAAATTAGTTATTTGTGTATGCCTTTTATTAGTTCCAATTTTTATCCCTGCTGAGCCACTAAAACTTTTTAATGGTAATGTCTCTGTAAGTTTAGGTACGTTTTGGCTATCATCTTGATCTCAATCTATCAGATAGCAATGCTAGGTATGAAGATTTAAATCCTAGATGTAACATCCTCTTCCAAGTTTTGTGATGGAAAAATTCAGTTTCTGATGAACACTATCTTTTTTACGCCAGAGAGAAACTATATTAGGCTAAATTCCTTACACCATGGCTAAATTCGAAATAAATTACCTACTTTTTTTGTATAAAAGCACAAAATATTTTTTTTATTTGGCATTACTTTTGTACAAGCCTCTATCTGCCTATAGTGACTTTTCTTGTAAGTATTATTGAGCATAACTTGATGTTATTTGACGCAGTTGTTATTTTCTTCTAAATATATTTTCAGTTTTATAATGATTATAGAACTAGGAAATAAAAGTTAAACTTCTTGACAATCATTACAAAATGTAAACAAAGCCATGGAATGGCATGGCAGTGTATAGGCGGCCGTGGCAATACCGATGTTGACGTCATAAAACCTGCGCACCGCTTCACCTGTATCCTTACACCATGCAATAACTCTCTATTGAGTACATATTATGAATCCATATAATAAACGTTTGAATGCATCTTTTATTAAATGATTAAACTATTACCTATGTTTCAAATATTTTAATGTCATTTTGTTTTTTGGTTTTTTTTTTTTTAAACTTAAAACTTAAAAAAATCTATGTTAAATTTAATATTTTAATGTATTACTTTTTTTTTAAAGTAATGAATGACAAAAAATTTTAATTAATAATAAAGGATAGAGAGTTATTGCAAGTTCACTTAAGGTCAGTCATTATTAGTGCCGCTCACATACTTTGATTTTCTTTTACTCTACGGAGAATGGTCGCACTGCGCAGCTTTCTGGGTGCCTTTTAAAAGGAGATAGAAAACTCCGCCATTTTGAACCCTTATTACGTGTTGCCTACATCTTGGCGCAATATTTTTAATAGGTGCGTTTTAATCATCCGCTTCTGCTTCTGAATTGTCAGTTTTCTTGTTTTAATCTGACTGGTTAATACGACTAAACCGACAATTCCGGAAGCAGAAGCGGATGATTAAAACGCACCTGATATTTTGCTTGCTGCTGTCAGTGTCAGTGAATATTATTTTTGAAGTCACAGTTTATTGCTAAAGAATCAGTTAGCTCACTCGGACCAGTTGAAAGTTCCAAAATAACATCCACTCCAGGGATACAAATTCAGGATACGCAGAAGACTGCTGTTTTAATATAGGCGATTGTCATATATTGTATTATCTGAGTTGCGCAGTGTATAAACTGGAACATTGAGATAAAAAGTGCCGACGCAGAGTAAGCGATCTGATTCTTTAGCTATAAACTGTGTCATAAGGTTCAAAATGGCCGTGCCCTATGTTGGGCGTGTCGGACCTCTCTCTTGCCCCGTATAGTAATCAAAGTATGTGGTTTGAACCTTTATTTCTAATGCTTTAAAAATAGCATCATTCTGTAACCCTGGCTTAGTAATTATTTTTTCTGTCATCTTCTGTAAACTTCGCTTATTTGGGAGGCATAGAATTTTTAACATAAAGGCATATGCCCTAGGGCCCAAAAAGTATAAAGTTAAGGCAAATTGTTTGTATTGCTTTGGGTATCGCCTGGCTCTGGGTTGTTTGTTTTTTAATTCTGACTGAACTTTAATTATTTCTGCGAGAGGTTGACCTAAATATTGTTCACACATCTCTTTGAAATCATTTATTGACCAGTCCCGTTTTCTAGGCAAAATTTGTTTCTTGTTAAGTTGTTTCCTCGATGCTTTTAATTTTTATCTCAAGTTCATTTTTCTTGGAGATGATGCACTTAAAAATTTTGGTGTCTGGGATCCAACTGAAGGGGATAATTTTGGATGTGGCACAGACATAGATGTTAAAGCTACATCTTGAATGTTTATCCCACTAGGACCTGAAAAAATAAAATTTTGCAGTTTGTACCAAAAAATCTATATTATATTCATTAAAAGTAATAAAATTAAATTGTCAAATCTTATTTTTTATTACCTGGCATTTTTAGAAAATCTTCATTGGCAGCAGTAGAGGTCAGTACAGATTCTATTTCATCCTGAATGTTTACCTGGCTGGGACCTAAAAAAAATAACATTTGGTGTTTATAAAAAAAGAATCATATTTTAATTTATTATAAGGAAAACTTCAAGTTACAAAAGGTAAAGGACAATTTTTCATTATGATTTCTATCAATACCTGGCATGTTGAGAAAATCGTCGTCTTCAGGAATATTAACTATAACTGTATCTTCAGCATCTATATTTTTGGACACATTATGTTCAAATATAGTTGGAACTGCATCGTCCCGTAAATGTTTACGAGTTAATCCAACTGAATAAAACATTGGTTCAAAATGTTTCTCACACAATCTATAATTTTTGTGTAATTTTTCTGAAATTTTGCTCAGCAAGTCTTCTCGATTACAGGCTTTCAACCACTCTGCAATTCTGTAAAAATAAAGTTTTTATGATCAAAAATCACAACATAAAGGTGGATTTATAAACTACGTTCAGTTCGAGTTCAACATAAACAGAGCAGAATGACACGGTATGTTTTGGATAAGAAATTATAACGGATTCATAATTATTTTATAGCCAACACCATCTACAAATATAATGAAAACAAAAATAACACCAAAATATAATTTTATTTTGTGGAATTTGTGGTTATGTCTTGCCAACTCGAACTGAGCGCAAACTGAACGTAGTTTATAAATCCACCCTAAAACAACAATTAAGGGTCCCAAATAACAAAAAACCGTGTCTTAGATACATTAAACATGGTGTTTGATATTTTCTATTAAACATATATCATTTGCGATACTTGGCTTATGCTCAGATTTAAAAATTAATATATAACTACATTTCTACACCTAGTGTAACGTTATTGAAGTCAAATTATTACTTGCATAACAAAACTAATTTTGTACTCACAATCAATTACTCTACTGTTAACTTTTTATGATTTTTGGATTGGCTTTGATCTAATTTTTTAACAATCATTTTTAGTACATTTATGATGCACTGTTCACATACCTTTCAGGCTCCTTGGGAAACGAAAAAAAACTAGTTTGATTGTCAGTTTCAGGTGGACATGGGCGATAAGCGCATCTCTTTCGTCTTAGAGAAGCCATTTTATTCACCAAAATGGACCAAACAAGAGTCTTCAAACAATAAAAATAAGTTCCAATAATGTCTATCACAAACTAACTACTTGCACTTAAAAACTAACTAACAAAAAACGAATAGTTTAGGAAACACAATTATAAAACAAAACCATAAATAATGCTCAGCAACTTATTTCTCAGAGATCGTAACGTAACCAAACAGAAACAACAAATGGTTGTAATGGATCAATAATGTTTGTTTTTGTTTACTGTTTTGACACTATTGACGTTGACACTATTTCCACTTACGGTCGACATGCGCACAAAAATTCGACCCCCTGAAATCGGTTAGCTTTCGCTTCTGTAATAGTAATTATTCTGGGCCAGTACCATGCAATTAAACAGTTTACCTTACATATTATTTTATCTATGGTATCGGATCGCATGCGCATAGAGGGTCGCGCTTGGACATGATCGGCTCAAGTTTTATATCGATCGAACAAATAAAATAAATGAACATAAAAGATGTTTCAGGTTATACATTTTTAGAGGTAATTTAATATTAAAAACTAGCTGACCCGGCAAACGCTGTTTTGCCAAGTATATTATTTCTAGGAAACATTTTTTTAGTTCAATAAAAATAATTATCTACTATAAGTGTGCGGGGATGTACTTATAATCGAAAGCGTTGTAAACAATGAAAGTATGCTTTATTTAGGTTAATGAATTAATCTTTATTAAAGTAACGAATATTGCAATATTACATTGACACGTTGCGCGCCATTTTGCAATATGCGTCGTTACCTTTTCGATAAATGTTAATTTCAAAACACTTATAAAGAGATTTTTACTAGCTCAGAGAAATTTAATATCAAACATTACTTACCTCAAAAATTAAAAGAAATAAATGAGCACATTGACCATATTTTTCTCAGTCGTGAATTCAGCTTTTCTAATAGACAACTTTAGGGTAATAATTTTTCTAGGAAATGTTGGGCACCAATAATTCTCTTTTTTTATTTTTAGAAGCTAGTGATAATTATAAACTCTAGCTTTATCAATAAAAGAAGTTAATAAAAACTTATACAGAATTTAGTTTGAGTAAAAGAGAATTGTTGTAACCTTTAAAAAATAAGATTCAACATATATACTTATAAAAATTAACGATTTTACTTAGATAAAAATAAACCGTTCAGAAACAAATCATATACAGTTTATCAAGTATCAATTTTGATTCCGTCATAGATAAATTTAGTCACTAGTAATTACCACTTTTGCCTTTTTGCTGGCAACTTCTTTTGGAGGTAGTTGAAATTTCTGCACATCTGGAACCCAAGCCTTTGTCGGTTACTCGAACATGAACAGCATGCTTTTTTTGTCTTTGTTCTCGTTCTTCCTTGTAACTGTGAGTTGTAACTGTCGCTTTTACCAGTTAAATCAGCTCGTTCAATTTTACAGCGTTTAGTTTACAGAGGTTAGGTTACAGCGTGTGGGTTACAGCTGCATTCATTCGTTTTCTAAACAAAAATAGATTTTGTTTTTCACGTGGCTCTTGTACGAGATATAAATTAAATTTGAAACATCTACTTTTTTAAAAAATGAACCAAGATACAATAAAAACTAATGACTATAAACATTGTGCCGTTCTAGCAACCAGAATGAATCATAAAAGCATATTTAACTTTACTATCAGAAAACTAATAACTAACAAAAGGTTTGAATAGTATTTCTACCAAGATATTTTATAACGACATTATACTTTTTATGCTTACCACTTTTACAGCCAAAACACCACCAGATATGAAGAGAAGGTAGTAATAAATGAAATTTAAAAATGTGATGCGAGATCATTTGGTTAGCTGTACTCCCACTTTAAGAAATTTCCCTTTCTTTGGAATATTGTGTGTGGCGATAATTGAATTATACAGGATGGCACATATTTAAAATTACATTTTTAATTAGACTTTTAAAATGTTACAATATATTATATTACAATTCTTGATAGCTATCTAAACATCAAAAAAAATTATTCCTATTTGTAGTATCACGATTGCACAGTTCAAAAAATTCGGTGAGCGTAATTTTTGGTGGATTTATAGCACGATCAAGCGCTGTATCGTTCGTGAAATATACGCGCTGGCCGTTTTCAAGATGGACAGCTAAATGGATAAATGCTGGATCCCGTTCATGAATTGGGAAAACAAAAATACGCCATACAGCTTCATTGGAACTGATATACCGGCCAATTTGATAATTCGTAATTTCATCATTTTGATTCAACGGAGGAGCATTTACATTAGTATTTTCAATTCTAAATACAACCATATCACTTCCTTTATTCACATACTTGCAAATATATTTGATACTCTTCAAGGAACTGCATGACTCAACATTAATATGAGCATTAAATGTTTTGCTCAGCAGAGGTGAATATGTTAACTATAAAGTTTTTAATTAACAAATAAAAAATGGGGGTTGATCGTAGAGGGGTGAAAATTAAGGGTTGTATGTATTTTTGTATGCTGTATCATAAAAAAATAAAAACAAAAAAATTTTGTCTAAAAAATAAAAAAAAATTAGGGGCTGACCACCCTTAACTTTTAGGGGGTTGAAAATTAAGGGTTGTATGTATTTTTAATGCCACATAATAAAAATAAAAAAAATTTTATCCGAAAAATAAAAAAAATTAGGGGTGGACCACCCTTAATATTTAGGGGATTGAAAATTAAGGGTTGTATGTATTTTTTAATGCCACATAACAAAAAAAAAATTTATCCAAAAAATAAAAATTGGAGTCGACACCCCTAATCACTTAGGGGTTTGAAAGATAGATAGTAGCCGATTCTCAGACTTACTGAATATGCATAAAAAATTTTATGAGAATCGGTCGAACCGTTTCGGAGGAGTATGGGAACGAACATTGTGACACGAGAATTTTATATATTAGATGACGAAGAAGTTCATGTAAAGAACTTCTGAAAGTCTCGATTAAAACTTGAATTAGTGTTAATACTGCTGTAACCATTAGTGCTGCAGTAACGAGATTTTACCTGTGATCTGACATCTAAGATGGTTTCGATTTAGTGATATTTACTACAAGTAAATTTCTACAAACTTATGTGCGATATTTTTTACATTTTGTCAGCAAACTACGACTCAACGATTCAAAATTAAATCGCAAGGGATACTTAACTCTTTCAAGGGCGGAGGTATGTTAACAGTAAATGGGCAGGTAATAAAAAACTTATTTAACTTTGCAAAATTTTATGAAATCAGACTTAAAATATTTATTAAAAAACAAAAGTAAACTCAATGTCTAGTTTTTTCTTTCATTTTCGTAATAAAAAAAAGGTGGTTTATTTTTTGTACGGGTGCACATATTCAAAATTTACTATTCAGTATGGTACCTTTCAAAACAAACCTTATCTTATCCCAAACAAAGTGGCATATTACATGTAGAACACATCCAGTTTGTACAAACTTGTTGTTGGCTTGTACTGCATAAACCACATCCTCCTCTGCTGGTATATTTTGGTTGATGATCCGAATTTTCATGCCTAATTTTTTTTGGAACAAATGGTTTATGCTTTTTGATGGCTACACTCAATGATGAATGTGACCTTTTTGATAGTCTTTTTTGAACTGCTACTAAGTACTCGACAATGGAGAGCCTGAAGTTTTTCATTGTGGTTTTATTAAGATTTAATTGTTTGTGTAATACAAAAGCATTAACGACCTAAGCGTCCAAAAAATAAAAGAAAATTCTATGCCACCATTTGTGATTCTTTCTATTTATTTCATAGGTGCGTTTGTTCTGGTAAAATTTATCTACCCCATTCATGTGCTTGTTATAATCAGTAAGAAGTTGAGGACATGGAATTTAAGTTACTACACCAGCTGGATTTCTTCTATTTACGGTACAAACATCTGCAGGGTTGTGGTAGGACAGCAAGTTTACAGCTTTTTTATCCATCTATTTTACAGCAAGCAAGCCATTATTGCTGACACTAAAATCAAAATCCTCTCTTTTTAATTGCTTGTCTTCCAATAACTTTGATTGAAATAAATCTTTTTGACTTAATTGTCCCACAAGCATATATTTTTTGTTTTTGTAGATCATCTAAAAGGGGTACATTTGTAAAATAATTGTCAAAGAATAACCTATGACCTTTATTCTCTAAACCATGTGACAAGTCTCGAACCACTCGGCCACCTAAATCTTTCTCAACAGCTGTTTTTCCAGCGTAAATTTGAAATTTGTAGCAATAACCACACTGATCAGCCAACATCCACACCTTACACCATCTTTTGATAGGTTTTTTTGGGAAGGTATTGTTTTAAACTGGACCTGCCTTTAAATCTTATCATAGATTCATCAATAGACACATTTTGTGACAGATTGAAGCAATCCACAAATCGATCTTGTAAATGATCCAGCATCAGCCTAATTTTGTGAAGTTTATCAAATTTTGGATCAGTTCGAAGAAGAAGTTGATTATTATCATTCACATGCAAATGACCTAATAACCAACTAAATCCTTTTGACGGCAATAAGGAACTAATATATGTGTCGTGTAGTAAACTGGAACTTGACCAGAAGTCTCTATAGCTTGGCAATTTTTTGATACCCATCAACAAATTAATAGCTATGAAAGTTTTCATATCTGCAATATTTGTGGGATTGTATGGTTTATCTAATTGTTGGGCATACAAGCATTTCAAAAAAATCGTCAGTAAAAAAGAGTTGAAACAAAACACCAGGATCGTGTTCCTTCAAATTTTGTATATTTTCAGGAACGCCAAATGCGCTAGAAAATGCCATAGGGTCAATTGAGCTATTTTCTTTATTCCATTTTATAACGAACTTTGGTTTTCTAATATTCTTTTTTTCTCTTCTAAGTTGCTGCAATAGGCTCAGGGGCTGCAGTAGGCTCAGGGGCTGGAGCGGGACAAATTTTAGGGTGCTTTTAAATGACATTTTAGCGTATTAAACTGTCACTAATCCGACTAAACCGAACGCTAAAAGGGTCGTTTGGAGTTAAAAGTGTTAAAGGAGTTAAAGGAACTTGGCAGACCGAACGCACATAGTCTAAGAGACAACGGCACATCGTCTTCTGGATCCGAATCTACTAACTCAAAGATCGATTCATTTTCCATTACGTTAGGATTTTCTTCATTTTCGGGATCATATGTTTCTTCTACCAGAGATTCAGTGTCCGACGGAATATTTTCAGCATCACTAATATCTGTGATGTCTTCATCATCTACATACAAATCCTCGAATAGTTCCTTTTCAGATATACCTACTAACCTGAATGGCAGATATTCAGGAATGTCTCCCATTATTTGTATCTGTAAATTCAATAAAAAGATTGTCTAGTTGTGCAGTGGTACAAATATTGGATTCACACTAATAAGATTTTTTACAAAAAAAATATACTTCAAACTACAAAACTATTGTTTTACTCAATAATTACAAGTTTAATACTATGTCATCTTACCTAAAACAAGTCTCTTTCAGTTTGTTTTTACAAAAAAAACACGCCTACAAAATTACACGTGCTCAACAGACAGTTATTGGTAGCACAATAAATTTACCTTCCAGTCTCTATGGTAAAATATTAGAATTGGGGCACATGCCGCCATTTACACATGAATAGATGTATCTATGTATTGGAACTGGCGGTACACGAAACAGTCCAGTGCGAATTAAGTTGTAGACTTAGAAATGTGTGGTACATTTTGTAGACCAGCGCACATATAATGTATAATTTTTGTGGTCCATATTTTGTACCATCGCCCTTGAAAGAGTTAACTATATTGATGAATAATTTATCTATCTGTTTATTGAACCGTAGGACCTTCTATGTCATAAAAATCTATTTTTTTTTTAGTATTACCTATAAATATTCATGGAAAATAACATTACCGAAAACAGGGTCATGCTGGGTAAAATAACTGGTTTCCCCAGATGGCCCTGCGTAATCATAAATGAAAACGACGTAAGCATGGGCGATGCACCCGACAATTCAAAAAACTGGTATATCGTCCAATTTTTTAATGACGGGAAATACGCCTGGTTAGCCGAGGAAGATTTATCTTCTTACGAAGAAAATGTAGAATTACTAGCAAAACGAAACCAGAAAGAAAAAAAATTGTTGAGCGCAATTAGGGAGGCCGATCAACAATTATTACTAAAAAGAGAAGATCCTGATTATTGTATTACCGTCAATAGAAAAAGAAAAATACCTAAAATGTTAAGTATAAAGCAAGAAGCTGAATTGGACGAAACAAATTCAAAAAAGGATGAACAAATACCCAAAAGGAAGAAAGTCAATATAATAAATATTATAAATTACGAGGAAAAGAACACTAAACGAGATAAAGAAAAAATAGGTATTGTTGTCGGGAAAGGTAAACCTTTTTTGATTTGCTTTTTGATATATTTTATTTAGTTTTCCATTGCATTAATAATACAATGGCACCAATAAAACCATTCCTGCAACCGACTGTTTACCTAATAAATAAACAGAACACTTCGTTAATAACTAATCTGTATTTTTTTAGGGGTTATTGTAGATGAATTTGTAAGACATTTGTTAATTGCTGGGTTTCACCTAAATGTTTACAACACGTCGTTTGAAAAATGGAATAAATTAGTCAGAAAGTTTCAACACGTTGGAAACATAACCGCATTATTAAGCGCGAGAGCCGTACTGGAAGGTTCCACAAATGTTTTCCTTTTCTTTAAATTCGAGACTGAAGTCGATGATATTATCAACAAAGACTTTGAGGGTGATCAGAAAACAAATAAAATAAGAACGAAAGGTAAATAAAATAGTTTTTAAAGTAGTTTGAAAAAATTTGCTCGTTAAAAATGAATCTTTTAAATTAATAGAGATCCCCCCGATCTCTATATAACAAATAAAATAAAAATAAATAAAATTTGCTCGAACTTGGACCATCTGGATTGGCGCTTCAGTGTGCTGACCGCTGAACCATCTAAGCATTGTGTATCTGGTGTCTTCGTTGTCAATTTGAGTATTTAATTTTGACAAAGTTGGACTCCAGATATACGGAGTGGCCCAAAAGTCTGGAAACAGCCAATTATCTTGGAAATTGCTAGTCCTAATTGTACAAAATTTGGGGTACACCTATTAGGGGATATGGAGATTCCAGATTTGATATCTGCAATGTTGCCAGATTTCCCATTTCTCTAATATTATTAGTCACTTTGGTTTTTTAAATTCATCACCCTGTATGTTTAGTCATTATTGGAATCTCCTATTCAATACGAGTTTAACCATGTGTAACACTTATGATTTTATTAAGTCTAGATGCTCTTAAATAAATAAAACAGCGCAAAATTTGTAGATTTGAAGAAATTTTATGTTTAAATCTAGAATGCTGTGATTTTGACATTTGTTCACCATTTACATTATTAACTAAAACTGACAGTAGTTTGATGTGTTTTGAAAAGTTCTGCAAGGTTCTGCAAGCCTAAGGACAATAAAATTGATTCATTAATAAACGAAATATATTAAAAAAGACAGAATTCGTTTTTGACGATCGTCCCGCCATATATTTATATACTTTGAAAAAACACAAATAGTGAAGAAAAGTGCAAATAAGTGCACAGAAACTAAACGATTTCGAAAAGTACAAACAATATTCATTATGAAAAGTCGAAATTTAAAGCTTGGACTGCTTTGGAACATAACAAATAGCCTTCATGTATTTAAGAATATTTTAAAATTTTAACGTTTAACCTTCATTTTACTTAACCCCAATATTATAGGATTACGTTTATTTTTCTACAACTTTTTACTTATTAAAATAATAATACATAGCTGAACTTAAAGACTCGATGACGGAAATTTAAAAAATAAAAAATCAAAATACAGCCTAAATACAGCACAAAAACAAGTTAAAAACTACGAAATAACAATGAATATATACTCGCCTCAGATAAGTAACTTCGACTGAGGGTGGTGATGAAACGCGTGAGACAGAAGATCGCACTTGTTCGTTTTATTATGTAGTGGACAGTAATAAAAAATTCAGTTTACAAAACTAAACCAGCAAGTATTGCAGACCTAAGGCAACGAATTATCGATGAATCTCGATTAATTTCTAGGCAATCATGGAGAAATGTGGTAGACGCATTCTACCATCGATTAGGGTACTGTCAACTTACAAATGGAGCACATTTTGAACACTTGATAAAGTAACCATTGCGTTAAAAATGTTGTAATCTTTCAATTGTTACGTTTTAATGTAGTTGAAAATAGTTTGTATTAAAAAATTTATTGAGACAATTTGGCGTTGCCAGACTTCTGTTTTATTTATTTAAGAGCATCTACACTACATAAAATCATAAGTGTTACATATGGTTGAACTCGTATTGAATAGGAGATTCCAATAATGACTGAACATACAGCGTGATCAATTTGAAAAACCAAAGTGACTAATAATTTAAGAGAAACGGCAAATCTGGCAACATTGCAAATATCAAATCTGGAATTTCCATATCCCCTAATAGGTGTACCCCAAATTTTGTACAATTAGGATTAGCAATTTACGAGATAATTGGCCGTTTCCAGACTTTTGGGCCACTCTGTATAATGCTCATGTATATCATTAATAATCTTTAAATAAAGTGTTTGGATTTTACGGTCTTCTAATTTGTATTAGGCATTATACATAATATTATTATAACTTACTTGAAGACGGATCAAGTTGAAAATTAAATAAAATAGGAATTGCTTTTAGCTTCAAATTATTCTTTTCCGGCGAGAGATTCATAACAAAATCATAATTTATAAATTTTTTCCAATATATTCTAGTGTTTTTGTTAATTTTATCAATTTCAGCAGTTCCTATTTCTAGTTTTTGAATCCAAATTTTCATTGCTTTAAGGTTTGTTGGAAACCTGTATACAAAAAGACTAACAATATTCTACCATATATACAGGATGTCCCAAAAAAGTAGACCAATCCGTTAACCATAGATTCCTAAGGTCACAGTGTAAGAAACCTCTGTTATTATTTTTTCGATTATGTTCATGCAACTATTTCCCTCTATGAGATAGGTAATATTTAGACTCAAATTATGATTTGTCATCTCAAAAAACCCCAGTGTACCAATTTTAAGCCATTCACTTAATGAAACGGCGAAACTAAACTGAAATACTTATTTTTTTTAAATTAACTTTGTTATCCTGTTTATTGAACATGACTTGCAACTAGCTCTCACTATGAGGTAGGTAATATATAGGTTTAAATTATGATTTGTCATCCCGAAAACCCGAGTGTACCAATTTTAAGCCATGTACTTAATAAAACGACGAAAATATAATGAAAAATTTATTTTTTAACATTAACTTCTTATATTGAACATGATGGCCCCAATTAAAAAAAAAATAGTAATAGAGGTTTTTTATACCCACCTAAGGAATCTACGATTAACGGATTGGCCTACTTTTTTGGGACCACCTGTACTTGTACCGTCTATGTTTTTTTGGTTGCGACACGTATGTCGCAACTCTTTAGATATCATAATGTTTTCTATCTACAACATGGGAACTCATGAATAATGTACTAAATTTAAATATTTTTCAACACAATGAAAATATTATTTTTTAAAACACTGCTCACACATTTTAAAGTAAAACTTCTTAGGCCGCGGTTCGATATTTGATAAATAGGCAGCGGTCCGATATTTGGTGAGAATAGAAAGTGAAATTTCAAGGACACGTAAGGTGTAAAGCACATAACTATGGCAACGCTAATTAAAACATGTATCGAAATTAGAAGAACTTTGATCTTGGCATTATATATGATTTTTTTGTTTGAAATATACAAGGCGGAACCGAGCGGAGAGAGGAGTGGAGTGCATAGCGGAGTAGAGTGAATTGGGAAGGAGTGGAGACGGAACGAAGGGGAGTAAATGGAGTAGAGTGGTGTGGAGAAGAGAAAAGCTATATTTTTCTCTCTCTATGTCGCTCTCTCACACACATATCATATACATACCACACACACCACGCTCACACACACAAACACACACACAAAAACACACAAAAACACACAAAAACGCAAAAACAAAAACACAAAAACACAAAAACACCAAAACACAAAAACACAAAAAACAAAAAGACAAAAACACAACAACACAACAACACAAAAACACCAAAACATAAAAATACAAAAACACAAAAATACAAAAACACAAAAACACAAAAACACAAAAACACAAAAACACAAAAACACGAAAACACAAAAAACACAAACACGAAAACACTAAAAACACAAACACACACAAAAGCGCACGCACACACAAAAGCGCACGCACACACAAAAGCGCACGCACACACAAACACTCGCACGCATTCACATACACTCGCACGCACTCACATACACTCGCACGCACTCACATACACTCGCACGCACTCACATACACTCGCACGAACTCACATACACTCGCACGCACTCATATACACACACACACGCGCGCGCGCACGCACGCACACACACATACACACACACACGCGCGCACACACACGCACGCACGCACACACACACACGCACGCACGCACACACGCACCTACACACACACACACACACACACACGCGCGCGCGCGCACGCACGCACGCTGGCACGCACGCGCACACACACACACACAAACACACACACACATGAGCAATTTCCACTGGCAGCTATTAGATTTTATATTGAATCCATACATATCTCCTATTAGGCATTCCAAACAAATGAATTACCAGTGGGCAGGTTTGGTATATCTAAGGGTGGCGACATATGGTGTATTCTATCTACTTTACGTAAAATCATTAATAATGGATTACATTTAAATATTTTATGTCAAACACAATAAAAATAATATTTAAAAAACCTACCTATACATTTCTTCATAAATTGGCAGGCTTGGCGACTACTACTTTGAATAAAAATAGCGTCCAAGTTGCAAGACTATGTCGCTACCCCCTTAGATATACAAGAATTTCCCACTGGCACCTATTGTTTGACAGGTCGTTGGAATGCCTAATTGTGCATACTTTACTTTTTTAGGGATAATCAATGCTACTCCTGTAACACCTGCTTTTTCTAATAAAGTAGAACAGGTCATTGAAAGAAGTGAAGGTAAATATTTGGAAATGCTTGTATTAGGAACTAAGAAGCAGGCCATTGACGCCACATTAACGCTGTTTACTTCTGGAAAAAGAAGTTTTTTTGATGAGTGCTTACCTCTGTTTAACGCATTCTGCGAAAATGGGTACCATATTGGAAATGCCGGGTAAATAAATCATAACTGTGTAAATGTTCTTTTCCTATACTTAGAGAATATTTTTCAAAAAATTTTCCGTCGACCGACCATTTATGATGTATTTTAACGCACTCAAAATCGTTGACTAATGGTTCCTATTAATGAATGATTTTCTGTTAATCAACGATTTTATTATAGAGAGATACCGGTGATAATCCCTATAAAAGAAAATAAAAACTTGCGTGAAATGACATTCCGGTGACAATCTCCGGCGAGACGCCACCTTTTTGGGCTTTCGCCGGCGGATCGCCAGCAAATCGCTGGCGAAACGCCGAAATGAATCTCTGGCGAGTCGCTGGCGATCGACTATGCATACGGCTGTTATATTCTCCGAGCAATTAGGCATTCCAACGACCTGTCCAAATGGCTCCCAGTGGGTAATGACAGTTTAGATATGGCAACCCTGTTGTCATGTTGTCATTAACAGGGTCAATGATACATATAGATTGCTCAAAGCTGGTCGTTTACGAGCGGCCATATTGCCTGGCAAATATTTATTAATTTGAATCGGTTTAGCAAAAATGTGTTTTAAAACCAATTTTTAGCCTTTAGATATTTAAAAAAAAATAATTGCTTACATTTTTACTTCAAGGCATACGCTTATGTTTATTTTGAAAAATATGGATAATCAATCTATGTAACTATCTATTTCATTGACCTTGTCAAATCACCAGGTCTACAGGGTTGCCATAATTTTGCAATATCATAACCCGTCAAAGCCCACTGGTAGGCATTCAGTTTGGAATACCTAATTGCTCGGAGCTTATATTGACAGTTACCTATGGTGTAGGCAACCAAACATACACATACGTTTGAAATCAAGGTATTTTAATACTATCTGTCATTGCATGTCATTATTTAATTTCTTAAAAGTAAGATATCTTTATTTTTGAAAAGTACGGTCGACGGAAAAGTTCTATAACAAACTCGTGAATTAAAATGGCTATTAACAAGCTCGAACATTAACGTGCTCGCTCTGCTCGCGTGTTAAATTATCTCGATTGATAATCGCCCTTATTAATACACTTGTTCGTTAGATAACCATTCTACATTTGTTGAAGGTTACATTTAATAATACGCGATTGTTTAAAATAGTGGTAATGCTGTTATTCAATACGTTTATTTTTAATGGGTGTTAAATTTTACGATTTTAACAAATTGTAATTCTGTAAAAATAAAATTAACACACGTTAAATTTTCAAATAAATTAACATTAAAAGTAGTTCAAATTTGCCATAAAAGTATGGTTTAGTTTTAAGATCTGTCAAATAAATGTCATGCCTTTTGTCATATTTATTGTATCTGTCTGTTTTTTCACAAGAATATTGAGTAGCGGCCGAATGTACTTTATAAACTATTTGGTAGGCCATCAATTTTCAATAAAAACAAAACTAACCCCAGTAACTTTATATTAGTGCCCTTTTACGGCAAATCAATTACTAACTACAAAAAGTGTATATACACTATAAATAAATATAATTTCTAAATACAATTTGTGTAATTTCTGTTAAAATTACTTGAGTAGTTTCAAAATTTTTCATTTTTATGATTTTCTTGCATTATGAGTTGAATTAAACAATCCGAAGTCATAGTTTCCTTTATGTTAAGTTTTAACGTTATATTTTTAACGTCCGTTAAATTTTAACATATTCGTTATAGAATTACGAAAGCTTCCTGGGGCCACTTTTTTTTATAAAAAAAAATATTATTATCTCGCAATTGTGACTTATTATCTCACAATTGCGACATATTATCTCGCAATTGTGAGTTATTATCACGCAATTGTTACTTATTATCACGCAATTGTGACTTACTATCTCGCAATTGCGACTTATTATCACGCAATTGTGACTTATTATCACGCAATTGTGACTTACTATCTCGTAATTGCAACTTAATATCACGGAATTGTGACTTATTATCACGCAATTGTGACTTACTATCACGCAATTGTGACTTATTATCACGCAATTGTGACTTACTATCTCGCAATTGCGACTTATTATCACGCAATTGTGACTTATTATCACGCAATTGTGATTTACTATCTCGTAATTGCAACTTATTATCACGCAATTATAACTTATTATCACGCAATTGTGACTTACTATCTCGCAATTGCGACTTATTATCACGCAATTGTGACTTACTATCTCGCAATTGCGACTTATTATCACGCAATTGTAACTTATTATCACGCAATTGTGGCTTACTATCTCGCAATTTTAGAAACATAAATGACATTTTGTGTCTAACTAATACACACAAAAGAAATGATAAATACAATTGAATATTTGAAGGAGTATCTACCAGAATGTAACGACGATATTTAATTCTATTTTAAATGCCAACTTTTGCAATGTTGAAATTGCTTAGTTTCTGAATGTAATAATACAAAATTATGTTTTATTTTTGCGAAGGAAATATTCTTTTATTTGTTCTTTTCTCTTTAAAGTGATGTTTCTATTTTTGTTTATTTTATAAGTTGGTGTATGTACTACTAAAATCAGTATTTTTTACCATTTATTTTTGTATGACAGGAGATTAAAAATACTGGGATTAAAACTAATATACTTCGGTAGGATCAATTAATTGTTCAACAGTAACCAATCCCCTTAATCAACCAAATTAAAAATACTACGGTTTGAGGCGTACCTACGTGTCATTACCAGTATTTCTCGTTAGTATCTTATGTTTCTATTTGGCCTAAAAATGCATTACTCACAAAAATTTATAACTTTCAATACTAGTATTTTATTAAGTTATCTGTTTCACTTTTTAATAAACTATTTGCATTAAATGTTGATATGTATTTAAATGTTATTTCAAATCGTACATCACTGTGTACATAGATGTGGTTGACTGTATAACAGCAGTGCTTCACAGGGAACCAAGTTGCATTTTGTTTAAATTGCTATGATTTCAACAATTTTGTTTTTACAACTATAGTGGTCCTTACAAATGAAATAATATAAGATATTTTTTATTTATATACGACATATTTTCAGAAATTTAACTTCAATAGAAAATATACAACAGTAATCAAAAATTTGGATGGTTTTCTTTTGAACAACTGCCTGCATAATGTTTGTTTTTTATAAATTTTAAAAATACCTTGGTAAGTTAAAAAATTATCATTAAAAAAAAACAAAGTAGTTATGTATATTACTTTATTGCATATTAATAGGTTCATCCAATATTGCGAACAGTGTTTCCTTAGTATACCCCACCAAGACTCGATGCGTTGATTACACTGACTGGTTCCATAGATGAAACTGTTATCATTCAAAAATTGATCTTCATTTTTAAGAGCAGTTCTTCTCAAAAATTTTTGCATTTGTTCTACAGTTCCATTTTCAGTACCCATATCGGATCTAATTTTTCTTGGACACCCACCATATTTTTCAATATTCTTAAGAAAAAACCCTAAAACAAAAATTGCATCCAGTAATTACTGAAAAATATATACCATTTTTCCTAGTGTTCCTTTTAACTCACCTGCAATTATTTTTGGATCATTCGTATTTGAAGATATGCTTTCAACCAAATGATAAACCTCGAGTATCCTTCAATAGCGCCATTTATTCATATACCATATGGTTTTAGTTTATCATATGAGTCAAGATGCCATAAAAAATTGGGACCAGTATTATTATATTGCCTTCTATGCAGTCTTCGTCTTGTTCTTAGTTCTACTCCAGAAGGATCTAAGTTTTGTAATATTAAACGAACCATATTCTGCGAAACAGAGAAACCATTTTGAATGCATTTCAAATGCATCCATCTATAGCCATGGAGTTGGGAAGAATTTTGTAACTGATGGTCTATAAAATTTACTAAAATATCAGCTCCACTGAAATATTTTTTTCTAAACAACTTGTTTTTGTTTAAAATCCTCTTTAGTTGTCGTTTGTTTTGATATATTTGTTGAAAATCTCTCTTTCAGTATGTTTCGAATTTCACTATAATTACATCCATTTAAAAAAATAGTGCATAATAAGATTATTTGTTGATCTTGAATCCATCGTCTAGTTTTGCAAATATCTTAAAAGATGGTTAAAATTGTAAAACAACTTAATGAATTATACATATGTTTAAACTCAAAACTCACCTGAAGCTACTACAAGCTCGAGAATGGAGAATCACTTCACTGTTATTTGTTATTTCACGAAACATTGACCAACGCTCACCATTTTAAGCAGACATGTAACGGCAAAATAACTCACAATTGCGTGATAATAAGTCACAATTGCGTGATAATAAGTCACAATTGCGTGATAATAAGTCGCAATTGCGAGATAGTAAGTCACAATTGCGTGATAATAACTCACAATTGCGTGATAATAAGTCGCAATTGCGAGATAGTAAGTCAGAATTGCGTGATAATAAATCACAATTGCGTGATAATAAGTCGCAATTGCGAGATAGTAAGTCACAATTGCGTGATAATAAGTCACAATGGCGTGATAATAAGTCGCAATTGCGAGATAGTAAGTCACAATTGCGTGATAATAAGTAACAATTGCGTGATAATAATTCACAATTGCGTGATAATAAGTCGAAATTGCGAGATAGTAAGTCACAATTGTGTGATAATAAGTAACAATTGCGTGGTAATAACTCACAATTGCGTGATAATAAGTCGCAATTGCGTGATAATAAGTCACAATTGCGTGATAATAAGTCGCAATTGTGAGAAAATAAGTCACAATTGCGAGAAAGAAATATTTTTTTTTTATAAAAAAAGTGGTCCCAGGAAGCTTTCGTATAGAATTACCACTAATATGTTTTAATAATTACTTACGAGTGCTGAATAATTATTATTTACTAGCTGCTGCCAATCATTTAAAATTTTCATTTGCCATCACTTGAAAAAATTAATCAATCCAAAACAACAAAAAGTCAAGATTCGTCAATTTGACCGCCCCTGTTGGACATGGAAAATACCTCCACCTTACATAAAACGTCAATTCACATATCAAAGCCACTATTAAAAATCTAATGTGTCCAACACATGACTTTTCCACATACATTTTACTTGAAACATTTTTTTATATACAGGGTGAGACATGAGGAACCTTACAGACTTCTACCATATGTAGAGTCCCTTAAGGGGTATATCATATGAGCATTAAAAAGTGGCAACACCCCTTCGTTATTAATATACGGGGTGTTTTGTGAATTTTGACCAAACTTTATATGGCCGTAAAATCTACAAGGATTACTAGATTTCTTTAATTTTTTGGTGGAGCTTTACACTGGTGTCTATCATTTAATTCATATCCTCAAAAGTTAAAAATTCCAGGATTGGCTTAGGAAAAATTAATCTCGACGATTCATATCAAAAAGTTCGCCCTGTATAAGATTTTTTTAAATTATAATAAGATATTTTTAAAGTACATAGAGAGGCAATCAAAACTGTGTATGTGACATGTTTGTCACATTTTCTTTAATTTTTTTATTAAGTTTTGATTTTGACAAAAATGTCACATACACAGTTTTGATTGTCTATCTATGTACTTTAAAAATATCTTATTATAATTTAAAAAAATCTTATACAGGGCGAACATTTTGATATGAATCGTCGAGATTAATTTTTCTTAAGCCAATCCTGGAATTTTTAACTTTTGATGATATGAATTAAATGCTAGACACCAGTGTAATGCTCCACCAAAAAATTAAAGAAATCTAGTAATCCTTGTAGATTTTACGGCCATATAAAGTTTTGTCAAAATTCACAAAACTTACATTTCGTTCTGTATTTGCTTTAGGGAATGTGCCATGTTCTCGCAAATAATTAAAAACTGATGCAAATGTTGAATGACAGGGAACTCGACGACCAGGAAATCTTCTATGATATTCTCTTGCTGCAGCTCTGCCATTCCCATTACAGAATCCGTACATAAAAATGATATCTGCATATTCTGCATTTGAAAACTTATGGGGCATTTTGAATAACAACACCAACAACAAAAATTCTAACACTATTATAAAATAGATAAAACAAAGCGAAATATTATTTTACACGTATAAATCATGGTTGCAAATGACAAATAAATAAGAAAAAACAAACGTCAAACTATCACAACCTACCTTGATACATAGGTACCTACTATGTATTTATAATAAAAATAAAACCACATAATATCTTAGTTGCAAGAATAAAATGTGCAGTTTTTATTAGATAATATTAATAACGAAGGGGAGTTGCCACTTTTTAATGCTCATATGATATACCCGTTAAAGGACTCTACATATGGTAGAAGTCTGTAAGGTTCCTCATGACTCAACCTGTATATTCATTGCCAACGAAAATACTGAAAAATTAAAATTTTACATTTTTCTCTAATTTTTTTCATTACGGCCCATTTTAGAAAAATCATTTATAAAACAAAAATTATATATATTTCGATAACAATTTTTAAATTTTTATTGTTAGAGATTTTTATTTCATTTTTAAGACAGTCAGTTGCTAGAATTCATAATATAAACATTGAACAAATAACAGTTGCAGTTATTTTATAAGAAAAACGGACTTTAAGTTCAAAAAAGTGGCATTTATGATCCTAGGACAATGAGAAATAAATAAAATTAACATTTTTCAGTAGGGTCCGAGTACAATTAAATCGGTCATTTTAAAAAGCCCATTATTTTTTATTACATTTTAATAATTTTTATTAAACTTTTTAATTATTTATTTTTATTTATTTTTATTTATTTATTTTTTTTTATTTTTATTTATTTTTATTTATTTTTATTTATTTTTATTTATTTTTATTTATTTTTATTTATTTTTATTTATTTTTATTTATTTTTATTTATTTTTATTTATTTTTATTTATTTTTATTTATTATTTATTTTTATTTATTTTTATTTATTTTTATTTATTTTTATTTATTTTTATTTATTTTTATTTATTTATTTTTATTTATTTTTATTTATTTTTATTTATTTTTATTTATTTTTATTTATTTTTATTTATTTTTATTTATTTTTATTTATTTTTATTTATTTTTATTTATTTTTATTTATTTTTATTTATTTTTATTTATTTTTATTTATTTTTATTTATTTTTATTTATTTTTATTTATTTTTATTTATTTTTATTTATTTTTATTTATTTTTATTTATTTTTATTTATTTTTATTTATTTTTATTTATTTTTATTTATTTTTTTATTTATTTTTATTTATTTTTATTTATTTTTATTTATTTTTATTTATTTTCATTTATTTTTATTTATTTTTATTTATTTTTATTTATTTTATTTATTTTTATTCATTTTTATTTATTTTTATTTATTTTTATTTATTTTTATTTATTATTTATTTTTATTTATTTTTATTTATTTTTATTTATTTTTAGTTATTTTTATTTATTTTTATTTATTTTTATTTATTTTTATTTATTTTTATTTATTTTTATTTATTTTTATTTATTTTTATTTATTTTTATTTATTTTTATTTATTTTTATTTATTTTTATTTATTTTTATTTATTTTTATTTATTTTTATTTATTTTTATTTATTTTTATTTATTTTTATTTATTTTTATTTATTTTTATTTATTTTTATTTATTTTTATTTATTTTTATTTATTTTTATTTATTTTTATTTATTTTTATTTATTTTTATTTATTTTTATTTATTTTTATTTATTTTTATTTATTTTTATTTATTTTTATTTATTTTTATTTATTTTTATTTATTTTTATTTATTTTTATTTATTTTTATTTATTTTTATTTATTTTTATTTATTTTTATTTATTTTTATTTATTTTTATTTATTTTTATTTTTTTTTTATTTATTTTTATTTATTTTTATTTATTTTTATTTATTTTTATTTATTTTTATTTATTATTTAGTTTTACAATACTCTCGAAAAAAAAAAGAAAGTAAGGGTTGCTAATTTCACCCCCCTATAATGTAACAGGAATATTGAAAAAATATCAGTGATTAGTTCTTTGCGAGTTCACGAAAATTACAGAATTTCAAGTTTCTAGTTTTACTGAAATTTTAGAAAAAAAAAATAAAATCTCAATTTTAGTCACCACCTTTTAAGGGTGATATCTCGGAAAGGGGTAGGCTAAGGAAATTTTGTTATAGGAAAGACCCATCTTAATTTCATACGAGTAATCACCTCCTGAATTTTGTCGCATGAATTTATAAACACCCTGTATATTAATAGGATAAGATTTTAAATGAAATGTAATTTTTGTATAAAAATTTTTTTGTTTCTACTGAATTTTTTTTTTTTTTTACTTATGTTGTTTCTGAAATGACCGATTCAATTAGAAGAACATAGCTGCGTCATCATTTGGCAAAGTAATTAATTGGTTATCGCATACTGGGGGTTTAGTGGAGTGTTAATATTATAGGAATATGGGAAATATTGTTTTATACCTAACAACTTAGTTATTTTTTATTTGTTGATAGTTATAGATAATATATATTCGAAATTCGAAGTAATGGATATGACGTAGCGGTGTTCTTCTAATTATAACCGAACCCTACTCTCTTATATTCCAATCAAAAGGAGGGTGTTTCTATAGCGAGCCCAACTAATTATTGAGTGGAGAACGACTTTTCTTCCTAAAGACGGCTTGCCTATAGATACCGACTAAAGAAGAAGAGTAGATTTCGATAGAACTGAAAACAATATTACAGTTTTATGAACTTATTTGAATATATCAGAGAATAGTTATGGGATTATGTTATTTAACTCGCAGTATTGATTGTTTAATAAAAACATACTATTTCCACAAAAACTAATAATTTCTCATGTTTTAGGTCCGCAGCAAAAATACACCTATTGTTGCAGATGGTTAGAGGCATAAACTTGGCAGCTCTCGGAAACTGTTTCTCTTTGTTGCCCTACCTTGGAATATCCAAGGAAATTTTTATGACACTGTTGAAGGAATCAAATTTGGCCAGTACCTATATTATCGACAAAGCTGTCGCTATTAAAGATAAGTCTTTTACTTCAGTGGAAGAGTCTGTTAGTGACATGGACGAGCAACTTAAATTATGCGTTAAGATGGGCAACAGTGCGGGCCATAGCATGTCGCTAACCAATACTGTACTACATATGTTTCAGCTATGTACAATGAAATCGTATGGAGATCACGATGCTAGTGCTGTCAGTTTATTGAGCCCGTATCACTACTAATTATTTTTCGACTTTGCATTATTTTTTCCTCATTTATACATTTCTCTACCTTTTTTTAATCTCTTACTTTGATGTTATTAAATATATAGTTCTTATCTATTATTGTTTTTATTATCCAGGATCCTCGCAAGAAGTATCGTCGCCCGAGTGTCGAAAATATTTTGAGGCCCTCTGAATATATGTAGTACTTATATAAATAATATTTTGAAACATAAGAACTTTAAGCTGTTACCAGGAGCGGTTTCTGCATTGGTTCATTTGTGCAGTGAACACCCAGCTAAATTTCATAAAAACATTATATTCAAATCACATAAATAACAAGAATATAAATTGAATTTTAATTATTTTCTTACGTGTTCATCATCATCTCATCATCTGAATTAGGGCGTGGTTCAAAGCCCACTTGTACTGAAGCTCTAGGCTTATTGTACCCCTCACAGTTTCTATCCCATCAGATTGATTTTCTTGATGAATTCAAGAATATGTCTGATGGGCGCTTTCGCGATTTCTTCAGGTTCCGGATATTGTACCCCGAAGTACCATTCCCGTTCCCATTTAAGATTCCGGCAGTGGCATAGTATGTGAATAGGAGTTTCGTCCTCCTCTTCACATATTCTGCATAGGGAGTCATCAGATATCCCTAAGAGCTTTAGGTGTCTTCTAAGGCCGCAG